AAAAAAATTGTAAGGCAAGATTTTTCCTTAGTGAAACCATGTTGACTATCCAATAAAATTGTAAACTTTGTTAAATGATTTTGCAAAGCATTTTTTTAACAGACTATCCAAAATATTTTCCTCAACTGATGTAAGACTAATGGGCCTATAATTACCGGGACAATGTTTATCACCTCCTTTGAAAAAAGGAGTTACATTAGCTAACTTCCAATCCTCTGGTACCTGTCCACTATTCAAGGACTGACAAAAAATAGTAGTAAGTGGCTCACATATCCACTTTTTAACCTCCTTCAAAATCCTTGGGGAAATATTATTTGGTCCAGGAGTCTTATCGTTTTTTAAGTTCCAATTTTTTTCTTAACCAGCTCAGAATTAATGCAGTCATCTTTTTTTATTTCCATTCCATTTATCAACTGTTCAAGATGTGGAATACTGCTTAAATCTTCGTAAGTAAAAATCGAAGAAAAAGCAAAATTTAATAACCCAGCTATCTCATAATCATCAGATACCAGCCTTCCTTTATCATCCCTCAAGGGTCCTACCCCCATCCTAACATTTTGTTTACTCTTACTGTATTTATAGAAATCCTTACTGTTAAGTTTTACATTTTCAGCCAACCGTTTTTCATACATCTTTTTTGATGTCCTAATTTACTGTTTCACCAACTTTTTTATCTTCTATAATCTTCTAAGTCTCCTGTCACAAGTGGGGTACCTCAGGGCTCAGTCTTAGGACCCTTACTCATTTACATCAATGACATAGATGAAGGAATGGTCAATAAATTACTTAAATTTGCAGATGATATTAAAGTCTTGGATGTTGTTAGCTGTGAGGAGGATGCTGCTGATTTACAAAAGGATTTAGGTCATTTAGTGAGTTGGGCAAATAAATGGCAAATGGGTTTTAATTATAATAAATGTAAGATAATGCACGTGGGGTATCACAATTGGAGTTATAAGTATAATTTGGATGGGAATAACATTAAAAGTGTCATAAAAAGAAAGAAATATTGGTGTAATAGTTGATCAGTCTCTAAAGCTATCCAAGCAGTGCGCTGTTGTTGTGGTAGGACAAATAAGATTTTAGGTTGGATCTATAGATATACTGAATACAAGTCTAAAGAGGTAATAATTTCATTGTATAGGTCACTGTTTAAGCCACATTTGGAATATTGTGTTCAGTCTTGGGCTCCTTACCTTAGGAACGACATTGAGTTGTTGGAAAGGGTTCAGAAAATGGTTACTAGAATGGTACCTGGGATGGAGGGGTTGTCATATGAGGAGAAGTTGAAATCTCTCAAATTACTTTCTCTTGAAAAAATGAAAAGTTGGGGGAATTTGATTGAGGTGTTTAAGTTTGTAAAGGGAATTGATAGTGCTGATGCATCATCTTGTTTCATACTTAACAGTGAGAATAGTAAGATTAAGAGGAAAATATATATTTTGGTAGGGTAGGAATTATCTTCAGTTAAGACAGTTTTATGTTTCTAACAGGGTGGTTGGCCTTTGGAATGAGTTGCTTTAGGATGTTGTGGAGGCAGTAAATTTAAGTGAGTTTAAGAAAAAGCTTGATAAAAATATGAATGATAAGGGCTGACTTTAAGATTTTTTAATTTATTCATTAATAGTTTTTATTTAGATGATGGAACAACCGAGATGGACCAATAAGTCCCATATTGTCCCAAAACGTTATGTTATATTATGAAGCCGTAATGGCGAAACGTAGGTAGCAAATCTGGCAATAGAAATATTTTTGAATTAATTGGAAAATACAGGTAATTTTTTCTATCTTTTATTGTCGAAAAGGTCTAAAATTACAGTAACTACAACACTTCGTGAGAAATTCAAAGAAAGTTTTGAATGATTTAAACTCTCTCAAAGAAGCCGATAAGAATACATACAACACGACCTGCTTTTCACGCCCTCTACCTTAAGAATACTTATTAAAGTTCAAGCAAAACATAACTAAAATAAAAATCCAAAAGTAGAAACATAAAAAATACTTTTTGAACCTTATGTTTCAAACAGTGAAAATGAGAGACACTGTTCGTTTTGATATTGGTATTTACAAGCTGAATGTCTCCTTATTGGTCCAGCAAAATGGCCGGGTCAGTGACCCATAAGGTTCAGGCATAGGCATCCCTATTCGGAACTACTGAACATAGGGAGGACAACCAGTAAGCAGCAGAAACCACCTCTTTATGTGGCTACTCTAAATCAAAGAGTAAGAATGAATTCTGCAGTTACAAAGCCCTCATCGCTGAAGGTGAGGAGCGTGTTCAGAGACATATCACAGCTCTACGCGCTAACCACTAGGTTACGTTGTTCATTATGTATTGAACTTTCGTAATTCCGTTAATACGTTGTGTCGTGCTGAGCGTTGCAAAAGTGTTGCAAAGAAGAGTTCCTCTTGTTATTTTTTGTGCTATATGTTGTATATATAAGGTAATGTCGTGTTCAAACACGTCATGATGTAATTCGTTTTTTCTCAGGTGTATTCGTCGTAACCTGAATGTTTTCCTGGTTTCACAGACTTCCTTTGTACCCTCAATCTCAAGAGTATATTGCTTCCCTCAATCATTTAATCATTTGTGTACTTTTAAACACAAGGATTTGCAGTAAGCTATATATGCTGTGCCCACTACGGGAATCGAGCCAAGATATTTAGCGTTAAACTCCTCAGTGTTGAGTCATCAGAACGCTACCTTCAATCCTTTAAATCGCCTTTCCAAAAAAGAAAAACAACAGAATTCATAAAACATTGTCTAACTTAAGAAAACTGCTTTCGCAACCACTCTATTTTTCTTTCTGTTTTAGCGGGTACGAATAATTTACCCAAATTACAGACTTGTTTTTATACCGTTCACAATCGGTATGTTCTACGTATTCCATCATATTAAGTAATTCTATATTTTTACAATTCAGTGTAAAGAACTGACCAAAATTTAGGATGAAATTACTCGTTTTTTATGTAAAATATATAATAGATCTCAGCAGTAATCAGAAGGATTAACTACAATATTAATGGTGTTTCTTCTTGTTGTTGTTGCTTGTTTTTACGTTTTTGTGGGTAACTCATGCGTTAATAAAATAGAACTCTCCTAACAAACAATGTCATAGACCCCAAAATTTGGTGCATAAATAGTTTTAAAAACGCGTTTAACACCCCCCCCCCTTTTTATATAGTTCCAAAGTTATGAGTTACGCCATTGAACGTTGTAATAAAGCTATTTTAATTAACTTTGTTATATTAAAGTGCATTAGTTAAAATTCGTAATACAAGTGTTTTCCAGATCCTTAACGTCAGTGATTCTCAACCGCTGAGCTGTAACACGCACAGTTGTGGGACTCCGCGAGAAGAGACAACTTCGACTGCCCTAAACTAACGAGTCATCAAATGCATCTTTACAATTATGTCAAATAACGTAGTGGGCCTTAAGGACCAAAAGATTGAGAAAACCTGTTATACGTGATTAGATGTCTGGTACACTCGACCCTCTTTCTTATCGAAGGTCACAGACCAGAAGTTAACCAAGTAACTGTTGTAAGCACGGTTGGGCATTTCACCAGTGATAAAAGTGGTCAATTGAACTGACAAATACGTTATTAATTATTTGTTGTTTTCATCTTAACTGCATATATTCAATTTTACTGAAATTAACGTAATTAATGTAAATTAAATTATATGAAAAAGTGAACCAGCCTATGGTTCATCTCCAGCTTTCCAACAACTGTCAAAGTTAATGTTGCATACAGCGCTGCCATTTCGGCATTTTATATTGTAGATAAATAATATTACCAATCATTATACCAAATAACTATCTGTGTTTTTATAATGTGCCATTATTCTGAAGCTATGCAAGAAGTTTAAAAACATAAGCTGTTGGCTGCATAAAATTGAATTCATGCATTATATTAATATACATATATAGTATTTACAAAATTAAGAAATATTAGGCTATGATACAATAAGTTCAGTTATTTGTTGTTTGGGTTGAGCACTCGGTGATTTTGAAGTCCGTTCGAGGGCTATATTTCTAAGAAGCATGGGAAAACTAGGATGCTTTCATCTTTTCCTGACTTAGTTGCTAATAAAATCAAGTTACTATGTAAATAATAAGAAAAACAGATATTTGAAACGAGTCCAATTTATTTGGAGTATTACAATTACAAGAATATTAGCCGTGTGAAAACAGATTTATAGCATCTAAGAAAATTAACTTGTTTTGCTTTAGTTTTATCATTCAAGTTTTGAGCTAATTACGTACCATAGCTAGGTGATCTGGTGGAACCGCTGTACTAAACTCTGTGGAAATACTGGGAATAACATAATCACGAAGTGATTCAATTACGTAAGGCTGTTTTGTTGTTCCTGACATATCGAGAAGACCTGTGGGTATAAATATACGAACAGTATAATTTTTATATCCTATAATAGTCAAGATGACAGAGGGTTTAAATACACGAAAAATAAAATCTTTCTGTCTTATAATGTTTAAAGAATAAATAATTAAGGGTGTAAAAAGCCTGAATTTTTGGTGTTTTATGTTAATTGACAAATTAAAGGAAAAACAAAATATGATGCTCTATAACATTCCATGACAACACTTTTAAAATTATATACGAAAACTTTTTATTAAAAATGTAAAATAATAATAATGAATACCAATAATTAGTTCTGAAGAATTTGACACTGTTGAACAAGATTTGGATCGGTACAGTAACTCAGGAAACCAGTCAGTTAGCTGCTTTATTGCTGTCCCCTGGTGGCCACAGGGGTCATAAATCTTCAATCCTAAATAATTGTATTAAAATTGGTTAAAAATCAGTTTTGCAACATGACATAACATTTATTAGTAAATATTATTAGGTTAGAATTCATTTTCTGATAAGCTGTCATTTTCTAGATATAAAAATATGATATAAAAATAATATAGTATTTATTCAGAAACAATGAAATATACTTGAAATACATATCAGGCTTTTTGTTTAATATTTTGAATTAACAGCTCTTCACAACTTGACATTTAAAAATATTCAGAAGATTAATTACATAATTTAAAACAAACTTTCATATCCAATGACATATATTTATGTGTATATCGATTATAAGCAACATGAACTATCTTTGTTTAACTCAAAGATAAAATTTAAGACGAATTATCTTTCTATATTTAACATAAAAATGACTTATATAATTTATAAATGTCAGTAATAAATGACGCTTTAAAGAAAGAATACATTGTACTTCGTTTGCCATATTCAAAAAGGTCGTTCGCATGACGAAAATAGTTTAATACTTAAGAAGTCAAACACTCTCAAACGACGTAATATTACTTGTCTTGTTTGTTAGAACAGGAATCCTAAGTATGGACAAGCTATTGTTAACGAGAGTAAATTTAATTATATTAAAATGCATGTAGGAGACAGTTAAGTGTTTGTATGCAGAAGACAACTAGTTAAATGTTTATATATAATTAATTGAATGTATATATGTGTGTGTACTAACTTCTGTCATCAGTTAATTAAAAATGAAATTTTAGAAAATAAACTTACCTACTTTAATACCAGGAATAAATGTTTCTGTAACATCTTGACCGCCAATTACAGCACTATTTTGATTTAGCAAAGATACCACCCATTGTAACACTCCATATGTTTCAACGCCCTCTATTTTCGGTTTACCACAACCATAGATTCCTCTCCCTTGATCATGTATGTTGAGCAGGACCCCGATAAAAACATCAGCATCTGAAGCCACTTCCACATAGTTACTCTGTGAGAGGCATTCTTCAAGTATTGGGTTTTGACCAATCACTGACCACTGGATAAACAGGAGGGCAAAAACACTCAGAGAAGCATAACAAAATAATGACATCTCTTAAATCTGAAAAAGAGAAAACAAATAACCTTAGGTTAGTCACGTATCTCTTATTGGTCCTTACTTAATGCGAGTTTAAAGTCTGGATCCTTCTTCCTTAAATGGAATCCTAATAAATGATCCGCCATAATAAAACTTTAGCACTTTTAATATGTTTTTCTTTATCCAGTTGAATCATATTAAGTGATTCCCCATAAGAAAACTTAAGTGCTTTTGAAGAGCAATCTTTACATCACCAGGAGCTTCTGTTCTTCTGATGATCTTTATCAGATCACGTTAGTGTTAATGCATACAATAACTTTAAATTATTCGTGTTCCTGTTTAATATTTAAAACATTCTAGGATTATACGATTTCATATCTTTTCTGGTTGGTTTGGAGGTTTGAATTTGGGCCAAAATTAACGATAAAATTTGCTCTATATTCCCCTGTTGATTAGAAGTAAGTTTACCGACTAACAACGATAAAATCTAAGGTTCTTTTACCCTTAATAGATAAAGCGCAGATAGACAGTGTAACTATGCGCTAAAAAACAACAACAAGTAAATAAATAAAAAACCTTAAAATGAACGCCATGCCATCTTTTTACCAATCTCTTTAGATTCAAGACTTGAAAATCACATGAAATGCGTATTTTATAATCACAGAGAGAACATAAAACATTTTAATTCAAAATATATGGTCAATACAAAGACCTTCTGAGAAGAAAATAAATAACCAAATGAAAAGTTAATCATATGTATCTATCGCACACACACACACAACTAATGTTAATGGGGACGAATGAAAATGAAGTTATAAAAATAAGTTTTGAGTATAAATGTCACTCCCCAACGTCTCCAGATGATGGTTAAATATTAAAAGTGGGCACTTTAGGTCAGAACCACTAACCCTCATTCTCAAAATACCACGATTCACAATCTATAGTAACTTGTGCATGTAACCAAGTCATGCTGCTAAGTTGACCTGGCAACAACACGGGAAAACTGGTGGGAAAACAAGTACACAGATGTTGCACCCAACTCCTAATCGTACTTAATAGTCACGTGATATCAACAAGTGAATCTTGATTCGAACTTGGCGTGATTGTAAGCAGCTAAAGCTGCTTTGTTTTATTTATGTGACATCTGCCCAATAGATACACAATCCAGATACCTCGCTGACCTTTTCTATAAACACAGAAAAAAATATGTGTATCTTCAATTATATGATTTTTTCCTTAGAACACTAACGTTAATTAAGAATGAAAGTGATTATATCTAAGCTGAATATTAATTTTTGTGAAATAAAATAATCGCGCACCACTCTCAGAAAGGAGGAAAAAAAATAGAGTTGATATTTCAGCTCATCAACAAATTAAAAAACAGCTTAAAGAAGAGTAACTATAAAAGAAACAAAAAATCATTTCATGGTAAAGAGCTCTTCACTTTATGTCTCTCGCAAATAACCGAGTGGCTTCATTTTCCCTAAATGGAAAGAATCGGAAGTCCATGTGTAAAAACTTCGGTTTATTGTTTTCTCCAGTCAAGTCCAAGTTCAGCCTGGCTAGGTCATTATTCGATAATTGTCAGAATATTTTACTCTTCTGGATGGGAGGAAGATTCATACAAAGTGTTTATTACATAATCATGCATTCCATTTTCTTCTATCATCAACCACTTTGACAATTGAAAGGACTATATTAAGTAACTGCTAACGGAAGTCCATGGTAGGTCACCGGTAAATTACAATGTTAAAATTCCGGGTGCGATTCCCCGCGGTAGCGAAAGCGCAGATAGCCCACTGTTGAACCTTGCACTGAAAGAAAATAAACAAGCAACAACTGGCGTAAAACATGATGAACACGTGTTTCTACCTACAAAAACTTTGTTATGGTTCTTGTTATCTAATTAACTGTACACTTGTTTCGAATATTCGTATAAAGCCATACAAAGGCGATCCGCTCTAGCCGTCCCTAATGTGAACTGATAGACTAGAGAGAAGACAGTTAGCTAACAGCATTCACTACCAACGCTTGGAATTCTCTCATTGAATTGTGGTATTTGACCGTCTCTCTTATAACGCACCTACGGCTCAAAAGTAGGGAAACATTTTTTTTTACACATTTTAGAGCCTTTTCCTCTAACAGTCCACTCAGGAGAGCGATTTCCATCAGTGTAAGTTGATTCAACATTCAATTAGGAATAAGAAAACCTGGATAGGGTGAAAAAAAACCTATATATAATCCTCAAAGTACCCTCTTCTTATGGTACTGGTACCCAGACCTAACTGGGAAGTCACTGAATCTAGTCTGGTAAAGCTGTTTTGTTGGAAACTTCTCAACACCTTCAAAGCACTATTCAAGTACATCTTTGACGTCACTACTAGAATCCCTATCAGTAATAGTGCCATCCAGTTGAACATCTACAAAATAATAAACTTCATTTTTCAAAACGTACAGTTCTAAGAAATGACCACAACATTTCATGTCACTCTGTACCTCCAGACTTTAATCAATAACATTTCTGTAGGAATAAAACACACAACATAACACTGAAATCTTCTGACTACTACTGGAAGGACTTGCTAATGTATCCAAACTTTTCTGCAAAAAATTGAGACACCTAGTTAAAGATGTGGTTCTATTGTTTCAACTCAGGGCATGACGTCAGACCACACCTTCATAGAAAACGCGGTCATATATATATATATAGTGAAGACTTGTGGACTCTGGTTTGTATGTGAAATAATTATATTGTCTATTTACATAATACTTTATTTAACAATACGAATTATTGGTGTAAACGCTTTGAGATACGAAGCTTGCAAAACACGTGGTTCACTTAGCTTAGCTTACTTCCGCTGTGTCTGATTTCTGATCGGCATGACATACTTTCCCTGGGTCTGACTTCTGATCGGCTGGACCTACTTCCGTTGTTCTTCCTTCCTATCGCCCTGACATACTTCCATATAATGTCTTTCTAATTCAAGTCGTATAACACTGACAGCTGCTTTTTGTAATATAGAAAATATAGAGATTCTCGAAAAATGAATAAAAATGCATCTACAATGTGAAATACCATTTTAAAATACTGTTACGTCTCCGTGTGTTAATTAATTTTCCGTAACTTCGTTTCAACGAAACTTTAACGACACAAGTCTTTACTTAATAAAACTGGTTTATTCTTTCCGAATAT